TGTGTGGATTTATGCAATGAAACACAGGAAGGCTTCAGAAAGGATGAACATTGACAGAAATCCCCACACAGTGACGCTGCTGCTGCTAGGTGCCACAGAGCGACTCCTTGTGACTCTGGGCAACAGCACAGAACCCGGAAGGTTCTCGCACCACCCGCATAGTCATTCCTCTGTTTGAGCCCCTTGCTGCAGCCAAGTCACTTTTATTATCATCATATCATTATCATGACTACACTCATGGTGAGAGATGGTTAAGTTATAGCATAAATATATAAATCTATGCTCATGGATCTAGGGAGGGAGGAACAGTGGATTTTGCCTGAGAAATTGGAAGAGGAGGAGGAGGCTACCATGAGAATCAGCATTGAGGAACCATCTTGAAAAGTCAGTGGAATTGCAAGAGTGACGATAAAGATGATTTGGGGGAAAGGTAATGAATTCAGTAAGTAGCACCTTAACTTTGAGATTTTTACATTAGAACACTTAAGATCATTAGAACAATTAAGGCCAGGATATCTGATGACGAGTCAACTAATAATGCTAATAAGTAGACCCACGGAAAGACACGGAAGCACTGGGAAAAGGGTGCAGACTGGGAAAAGACAGGGGTGGAAGCGTAGATATTTGAAGAAAGGGGAGATGAGGAGTCTTTGAAGGTGGAAAAACAACAAGAAGTGATCTAGAAGGAGAACTGAGAGAAAACAGTTTTAGAGAAGACTGGCGGGCTCAAATGGAACTCGTCAAAGAGGAGCTCACATCCCAAAAGAACATAGAAGATGTTGATGAAATAAACATGCTGGACTTTAAGCTGAGAAGCAATATGAGGCGATGTGCAATTGGTGGATTGAGACACATTTAGGTTTGTCTTCCCTCTCCATCTTACCAGCTGTGTGAACCTTAAGCAAGTGACTTTGCCTCTGGAATCATTAATGTCATATTTGTAAGGCGAAAATAACCATACTTCCAACCTTATAAGATCGTTATTGTGATTTTAGAATGATGTATGAAAGCACTTACACAATTATCTGGTATACTCATACACACATGCATGCACATACCTGGAAAGATATAAATTGTCATTGCAAATGTAATGCCAGGGACAATAAAATAATAGAGCAATCCTCAAATTACTTGCCTTCTAGAAAAGTTCTAGATAATGTGCAAAAAATTCAAATTAGACTTCTAAATAAACAATATTGGGTAAGACCCATGTAGTTCCTTTTGTTTGAAGGCTACTGGGCCCTGAGGTCAGGGAAAAGTGAAAGACGGGATCAGGCTAGCCTAGCTGGGTCTCTGGTCCGTCTCCATGACATCTGCATCACTTAGGGTAGGAGAAATTATTTCGATCAACCTGATGCCTAAAGAATCTTCTATAGGAAGCAATTAAGTGTTTCCTGAAACAAAATACATTTGGTGAAGTTGTTCCCTTACTACAGAGCTTCTCAAACCTTTTTGATATGGTAATGTGAGTACTTAAGGGTTGGTAGAGCACGTAGAATTTTCCAAATTTATTTGACTGTGGAATTCTTCTAAGGGTCACAAGATACAGCTTGGAAAACAGGTGTGGATGATGTTACATTTTCTTGCCTGCAGTTATCAAGTGTGATGATGACATTTTTGCTATCTATCTGTGGAAATATATCATGTGTTTATTAGTCCAACGGGATCAGAGATTAAAGAGGTGTCACTTATGAGACGTTCATAAGCTGGGCAAGAGGAATCAGGAGAGACCTGATTAAACATCAGTTGGACAGAGTTGCTATTTATTTGGAAGACAAGAATGACATTTAAAAAATATCCAAAATAGAACTCAATCAAAATTAGAATTAAGATCAATAGGAAGAAGGGAAAAGACATCTTACAGAAAAAAGTAGGGTGTGTAGAAAACCAAGGAGAAGGTTTCTGAGACACAGACAGTTTTGGATGACCCAGAATATACAATAGACCCTGAATAAAAAAAGGACTATGAATAAAAATATCATCACCAGAGATATTACTTCTGCTTTACCACGTTTATTACAGGGGAAAGCATACGGAAATGGGATAGCTCTACTTGACAGTGCTGGGGTTCTTTCCTAGTTTCTCCTGCCTTGCACGCTCCATCCCAAAGTGGCTTTGGAATTGCTTTAGAATGCAGGGCTTAAAAGTTGTTATGATTCACAGGAAGGTCCCCGTTTAGGGTAATTCCGGGTGTTCTTGAAGGAGGGTCGTGTAATTTCCTGGTTTAAGGAACGTCTCCTACTACTCTTATTGAAACAAGTAGGGACTATGGGTAGAAACTGACCTTCTTATTCAGAAACGGTGCTTCCTGTTGGACACCATGCTAAATGTCGAGCTTATTTAGTACAGGTGGCATTTCCAGGCAACTGGGGGCTTGGTGCTGGGTAGTCAGGGGTTGCCTCTATTTCTTAAATGTTATAGTACTAGATTATGGTATATCTAGGTGTCCCTATAATTTAGTCCTATAGCACCCAGAAGAGTGATATGAGAGAGCATGTAGGTGACCAAAAAAGAGCAATATGAAATAAGAATCATTTGAGGACTATGAAGTTCTGCTCTTGGTTTGAAAAACCACATTAAGAATTCTAGGCCTTCCAGGGGTGGCAACTAGGTAGGAGATGTGAAAACTGTTACATTAAGACAATAGTTGATGATGCCTAACTTGGAGATGAGAAAATGGGATCAATATAGTTCTTTCACGACTTAAAAAAAAAAAAGGACTCCAGAGATACTCAATAACGGTATGTAAAAAATAATTTTTATAACAATTCAAACTGTCTGACAATAGATTCTAAACTGCTTTTTGAAAAACAAACAAATGCCCTAAAAGTAGAATTATGTTTGAACATGTGTTTTGTGGCAGGTGGTTCGCTAAATACTTTACATGCATTAGCGTATTCAAGCCTCTCCAAACTATGAGTAGCCTAATGATAGAGAGGGGAAACTGGGCTGTGGAGACCGCTTGTCCTGTTCCAGTTCCCAGAGCCGGGGAACGGCGGGCTGCGCTTGGATCGTGGCGCCCCTGTGCCGCGGCACTGTTCTTCTCACTCCTACCCCTGTGCGCTGGAAAGCACAGCCTAAGCGCCAGAGGCTAGCTCCAGGGCTCTTGTTTATTGTAAGACGAAACCACCATGGACAATTTCCTCAAATGTGTCATTTAAGTTCGGCCACATTGAGGATTGAAACATTGACTCGAACTCTCTTGGCCGTTACATCCACTGGCCACCTGCCTATTTTAAGGAAGATGGAAAAGGTGGGAAATCTAGAGAAGATCAGTAAATCCGATGGAAATGGATGGGCAACGGGGCCTAGGGCCTCCACAGACGTGTGGAAGGAGGCCTAGTCTACTGGTCAGGGAGAGATTTGAGGTTCTCCAATGTGCAAAGGGTTTTGGTACACAAGCCACCCAGAAAGAGGGTAACAAGTACTCACTTCAGTGGGAAAGCTTCCCAAGGAAAGTGACCTCACAGAATGACTTTGGGAAGCAAAGCGCAGGGTCATCTTGGGTTTGCAGCTGCTGTCTTTGACAGCAAGACCCTGGATTGCACTCCGATGGTCTTGGCCAGGTGGGCCTCCCTCAAAATGGGCCCAAAGGTTCCTTGGTGTTTATGGGCTCTGTTCTCTCCCATCCTGCCTCACTGCAGGAGCAGTCAATGCTGGGCCATTTTCACTTTTGGAAGATTTTTGAATTCAACACAGGTGATGATAAGGATTCGTAGGCAATTGACCATTAGTTACGGCAACAAATAACCACCTATGATTCTTTCTGCAGCCCTGAGTCTCTGACGCTCAGTAACTGAGGAAAGAAGCCCATGGAGTCTGTTAACACAATCACTCTGAAAAATGAACAAGTCTGCTCAACAGAGTTTTAATGTATTAATTTCAGGAACGAGGCAGTCCGTTTCACTGTAACAGACTACCCTTCCTTACAAAGGGATTTAAAAAAAAATGATTCGTAACTTTTTAAAGGATTCTTTTCTGCCTCATAGAAATTTTGCCATAATTTCATGCCCCTATACCTTTTGGCTGGTTACTCGCTCCATTATTCTTTCTTACATTAAACCTGATAGGTCCTGGTACCTGTGAGATTAGTTCTTAGGGCTGCGTGCCTCAGCTGCTGCTTTCAGGAGGCTGAGAACACGACAGGCCTGCCCACAGAGCTGCCGCCTCGTCCAGCTCTTCCATCGCCTGCCACTCACTGCCCTGCCACCTCTGTGCCTTCTCACCATGGGTCCATTCTCCACTTGGCCCTCTCTTTGAAGAGGGAAACTTTGGTCTTTTGCAGCTGTGTAATCGGTCTATCTGTGGAGCTGCACAATTCATTCTGAACGGCATCATTTCCCCCTTGAACATGTCTAGGGCATGCTTTACTGTGGATGGGCAGGCATTTGGGTGGGCAAACAGGCGAGTGATAATGGAGCCCCACGGTAATGTCTGCGCTGTCCCCACCACTTCACAAACACTCCTTACTGCGGACCCCACAGGTGTCTCTCCCAAGAGAGCCTCTCCTGAGTGGATCCCCAGCAGGCCCGGCCTCCGTGGCTCCTGTTTGAGAAAATGCTGACTGTCTCACCAGGCAAAGTGACAGAGGTTGCAGCCAATGCTGGAGAGGGAAATAAATATCTTCCGGCAAAGCCTCTCTCAGATTGTCTGATATGGGAATATGATTTTAAGTATTCTGAGAGATTCTGGAAGTTAATAGTGAAAACTAAGTTTGGGCTGGGAGTTTTGAAGGACTTTGTCATTTTAATAGAAGATTAATTCCAGAGAAGAAAAAAGCAAGTCCTGTCCCTTCCACAACTAGTTTCTGGGATCAAAATGCTTTCTCATACTTTAACATGAAAGAGTGTACTAGAGGTTTATAAGAGGCGCAATGGGGCATTGGTGCTTAGACTGCATGTTGAAGAGGACAGAGAACTAGTAAGAAGAATCAACCCACGATTGTCAGTGAGCCTGAAAAGTCATGTGCGAACAATGCAGTGTGCAGAGCGGTTACTCACAGGTATTTGCGGTGCCTTTGGGAATGGGCAGATAGGAGCCTGGGCTCCAAGGCCGGCCCTGATAATTCTTCTTGCACTTCCCACAGTCTGGACCTGTAGTGTTGTGCTCACATTCACATGTCAACTTGCTGTTGTCATACACACACACAGTGGCATGGAGATTACACTTGCACCTATGCAGAGAAGAGACAAAGAGTTCATGGTAAATCAAGTTGCACTAGTAACCACAGAACTTACAGCCATAGCTTCTGGGGGTCCAGGTTCTCACACCAAGCAAGGCATTAGTGCCTCAGGGAGGCTTTAGGCCAGTGGTTCTCAACCTGTGGGTGGCGACCCCTTTGGGGGTTGACTGACCCTTTCGCAGGGGTCTCCTGATTCATAACAGTAGCAAAACGACAGTTATGAAGCAGCAATAAAAATAATTTTATGGTGTGTGTGTGGGGGGGTCACCACCACATCAGGAACTGTATTAAAGGGTCTCAGCATTAGGAAGGTTGAAAACCACTGCTCTAGGCAAATAGAGATGGCCAGGCCAAGCCCTCCCAGGTATCCAGTAAGCACCTCAGGGGCAGTCTGATGCTGCCCAACCTCACAGCACCCTTTGACGAATCTTAACACCAGATGGTGCAGTGGGGACTTGGAGCTTCCTAAACCTGAATCTATGCCCCGAATCAGAGGGATTTTTCTAGCAGGTATCCCCAAATATCCCTGTCCCTTAGTGACACCAACAGGGAAGGCTGGAGATGCAAGTCCACGCAGAAGCGTCTTGGATGGAAGGTCTGGTGACCTCTGAGAACTCAGTTACTGAAAACCGCATGCAGCACGGTTAAACTGTCACACAAATGGGCCACCAGGAATTAGGTTCAACTTGACAGCAACTGGTGAGTGAGACTGTCAAGCCTACGACAATTTCTTCTGGCCCTAAAGAAGACTATTATCTTAAAAAAAACCCACAAAACACTTAACTGAAGAAACAGGTCTTATTTGTTCCAAAGAAAGATAACCATGTATGGTTTGTTTTTCAGACTTAATGTCTTAGGCCCAAGAGGCATAATCGCCGTGTTGTCATTGCGGGCTTCAGAAGCAGGGTTTGCTGTGCAAGCCTCCACCGCACTCAGACTTTCCATTGTGGAAAGGGAAGGAGTCCCAGAGCTCTCTGAGAAATGGGTCCCTTATGCAGTTGATCAAAGATGCTCTGACTTCTAGAAACAGAAAACCTCTGTGTGACAACGATTTGAGGTCACTCGCAGAGGCCTGGCCTTCAGTGCCTGTGGTACAGGCTGTGATAGATGAGGGGCAACAATGGACGATGTCATTTCCACAAAAAGTATTCCAAATCTTTGACTATACAATTGCAAAGGCCAACTTGGTCTTGTGTCGCGGCAGCAGGTTATACATTGGACCACACCAAGCGCAAGATGCAAAGTGGACAGAATGACCACGATTGGAGGTCAAAATAACATGTGGGCAAAGGTGTGTCCACACCAAGTGCCTGGGCGGCCAAGCCAGGGGACAAACTACCTAGATCTCTCGGAGTCAGAGTCTGACAATGTTACTTTCCCCTGGCTTTTTAACTGGAAAGGACGATCCAAAACTAGGACAACATTACAGCAACCCCAGTTTCACAGAGACAAAGGAATATTGTGGATGTGACATTTCCCCCTTTCCTGTGTGGCTAAGGACTCTGGAAAAATAACCAGGTACTTTTCCAGACCTAGGACAATGAGATTCTTCTAACACATGATGCTGGTACCCAGGTCTATTTCTCCTTTGTGCCTCAGTGATCAGTTGGGAGCCCTGACCCATAATTAGGACAAAGAAGTAAAAGAATGTCTATGATGATTATTGGGAACAGCATGGCTTCTTTTATCTACAAGGTCAGCCCCTAAAGAACTGGTCAACCACACCAAGCTCCCTGGCCTGAGACCCAGCCTACACTTCCATTGAAAGTCTACTGCCGTGTGTAATACTTCCAGCTACGCACCACCCTCTGTATAGTTAAGAACTGCATTAAGTTGAGTGGCTATTATTTAAACAACACCCATTCAGCTTGGACACATAAGCAACACCATTTAGAGTTATCATTTTTACAGTTTTTGGAACTGAGTGCCTGCTAAGGGGAAAAGAATAATTCCATTAAGCTCTATAGACTGTTCAATTTTGAGATGGCAACATCCTATATATGCAGAGTTACTTATGTTAAGTAACTTATTCAAGGATCTAGCTCCTTCCAACATTAACACCTCTCTCGGTGGGTCTGTTTTATATAAACAGGATGGAGACCTAAGTGATAGAAGCATCTCCTCACACTGATTTAGCACATTATTGTTAAAAAATCCAGATGCGTGAAGACCAGGAAGGCAAATGGCAATTGCACATTGGATTATATATCTGATAACTGTTAGTACTGTTATATTTAGAGTCATTCTGTGAGTTACGGGCAATTTCCATCCTAAAGACATCTTAGCTGTGACAATATTCTTTGCATAACAAAAGGTGTCAAAAAGAGAACAGATAAATGTTTAAACCTGTTTTCCTCAGATCTCTTCCAATTAATTGTTCTCCCTTACTCATTTAACAATCTTATTTATCCTGCTTTTAAAAAATGATTTATAGCCCTTCCCCAAATCCGTCCTGACCACTGTAGGCATTATAATCCTTACTCTTCGGATTTCTTTAACTGCTTCCTGTGTGTTTGGTCCGAATGATTGTGACTTAAAACTATTTGTATTATTGAAAGTTTTCATCCATGACACAAATCTCTTCCATCTTACAGGGTGAGGGTTCACCCTTTGCACGTTCAGGTCTTCCCCAGATACCTCCTTATCCCCTCCTCTCCCTGTGGGGGCACCCTCTGCTTCCATCTTCCCTTTCTCACTACAAGCTCACTCTCTCCTTCCAATCCCATTCGAAGACCACTCATGACCTCCTTTGGGGGCAGGGGTGGAATCTAAAGAGTACAGTTGCCAGCCTTACCTCTCTTCTCCTTGGAATTCTCTCTCCTCCTAGGTTATCAAGACCCTCTGCTTCCGCCTATTCTGGTCATGTGCTGTTCCCTGGGTTCTGGCCCAACACAGTCAGTACACTCTCCAGGGTATTTTTTGTTGCAAGATGGGCGCAGTGAAGGCCCATAAAAAGCGGTCATCATTATCAGACTACAGACACCAGGTGGATTCCCAAAATTCTAAGTTTTATTGTTCCGCGGTGAGAAAGGAGGAGAAGGGTTATCCTTCCTCCACATGCCTGTCTCCCTGTCTCTCTGTCCTCACAGGACATATACACGGGCTGCATGAAACTATCCTTTCTTCAGGCAGACACAAATCTTGGAATGACAGCCACAAACTGGGATAGCCAGGGTTTGCTTTAACAAAGAATACATGTGACAGAACTTGCATCACTATAGACTCTAACTGGTGAGGAGACAGGCGGATATGCAGGCTCTGGCTCTTAAGGAAGGTGGGAAGGAAGTCTGGGAAGATTCAGAATACTCCT